TCCTGGCCATTGCACGGCTTTGGCATGTTCCCACCTTGTAAAGGGAAGAGAGAGGGGGGCAGGATTGGTGAGGAAAAACTAGATCTCCAGGGCTGTAAGACAGATGAATGTTGAATAAAAACACCTACATAATTTTTTTAAAACAGAATTTTAATGAAATAGCAGAGCTTTCACAGTTCCCTTACAAAAGCTAAGCTCCAAGAAAATTAAATCTGGTCTAAGTCAATTTTGAGGCATTTTGATCCTTTTAATACACAGTAGCTCCTGCGGGCAGCAGGGAGAAGGCATTTCTTGCAAAAGGCAGCACCTTTCCCTGGCCCAAAGACAACCCACTATTTGAGTTATGAGACTTGTCACAGAGGAAAAATGACTGAATGATGAATGTAAAGGTATATAAAATTGTTGTGGAAATGAGGGAGAGCTGCAGCATAAGGAACAGGACGCTCTGACATGGAGACGCAGGAAATCTTTTAAATCAGACAAATATATTCTTGCTAAAAAGAGTGCAGCGTAAGAACACAGGACCCAGAGCTAAGGAAATTCACATTCCTGTCCTCATTCATAATCAACAACTTTGTTGGCTTTGAAAGCTGCTTCCACAAGCCCTCGCACCGAACTTCCCAGCTCAGCTTCTCAGCGCCGAACGCGGAGATGCCGTCTCCTCCACCACGCCTCTAGATGGCTGAAACCCCGGTGGGCTCTGCCCTTTGTGGGGTGTCGCATGGGATGGGGCATCCGAGAGACCCACAGCCTCAGACCCGCGGTGGCACCGGTGGCTCTGACCGATCTCCAAACGCTTTGTGGTTTCATTCTTTTCCAGATAACCCAGCTGAAAATCGAAAACAACCCCTTCGCCAAGGGATTCAGGGGGAGCGACGACAGCGACCTGCGCGTGGCACGGCTGCAAAGGTACGGCCGCACGGTGCGAGGAGGGACGGTGGCAGGGGGGGCTCAGGGGAGCTGTTGCAGCATGCACGGGTGGGCTGAGCCCAGGCAGCGTCGGACACGCAGCCAGCCAGCGCACCCTTCAGACGCATGCTCTGTGCAGAAATACGCCTTTGAGCTGGGCTTTGATCTTTTTTCTGCTGCTGATGTGCTGCATGTCTTTGGAGAAGAAGTTAAAAGGTGGGGGGACATCGCATTTTCTTGTGTTTGAGGGCATGAGGGCTTCTAATGCCATTTATACCCTGGTAATTCAGTGAGACATGCTGCGTGTTGTTGTAACGCTCGCCCACACCCAGCGGAGTGTGATGAGTGTGAGTTCATCGCGTTTGGCAAAGGGTGTTGAAGTCACTGGATGGAGATGCTTGAGGAAAGCCAAACTAATATTTCATCCTCCTGTTAACGCTGATTGCCATCTAACTGGTAATAATTTTTCTCACCTCCTTCAGCAAAGAATATCCGGTAATTTCCAAAAGCATCATGAGGCAGAGGTTGGTGTCCAGCCACGGCCAGCTTTCAACAAAGCCAGATGTGAACCCACTTCACGGGAATCACCAGACCCTGCAACATTATCAGTATGAGAACGGTGCTCACATGCAATTTGCAGCTTCGGATACTCAAGATCTGCCACTAAACACCTTCACAGCACAGAGGGATTCAGGGCTCTTCTATCATTGCCTAAAAAGAAGAGGTAACTCGAGTTGACAGCTAGAAAAATATTATAGCAAATAAACCTGAGAGGATGAGCACTGAGAGAGTATCACCAATTCCCGTTCATTTTGGATCACCCTGTAAGGCTTTGATCTTCAAAGATACCGATGTGAGCAAAGCGTTTTGGAGGGTCAGGGCCCAAGAGCCACGTTTTGGGCAGTTCTTAGTGGTTTTGTCCCATAGAAGGCAAATTTAGACTCTGAGTCAGAGCTGAAAAAAATAATCAGAATGCATAATTCAAATGGCATGAAGCTTTGCTGGAAAATTATCTATTGTTAGCATCAGATGAATTAATAATTGTTCAGAGGAGGCCTTATCTATCCCGAGATGTTCTGACACTGCCATTAGCATTAATGAAGTTCTACGCATTCAGCACTTTTCCAGGATGAAGCCATTAGCAATTCTCTCGACGTCTGCAGATTAGTGGGACTGTGGTAGCTGGGTGTAAGCATCCCTTTCTCCTTATCCACTCGTTCTCAAGAAGTGAACTGTAACTACATTCTCTTCTTTTTTAGTCCAGCGTCAGATGAGATCATGGCACGTTTTAAGTTAAATGGAAAAATTTTGCACAGAAAAAAATCCTTCTATTTGCATGTCTCATTGGCCACTAATTCGTTTAAGCTGTGAGAATCCTCTGATCATGGGCAAATGAAGAATCTAACAGCACCAGTAATGAGGACTGCACGGCAAATGTGTCATGTCAGCAGATGTCTATTCTGCAGATGAATTCACCAATATTTATATATTCTCATCTGGAGAATATTCCTAATAGCTAACAGAAAGCTGCTGGTAAACACGGCTGCGGTCATCGTCATTCGTAGGAGAGGGGCTACAGCTTCTCAGCGTAGGGCGGAGGGAAGGGCCGATGACTGGGAATGGGCTCCTTTATCTGGCAATATTTCTGCAGCTTTTGACGTGAATATCTGGGAAATGTATGGTCATTTTTGTAATGACAGGAAGGCAGGCTGCGATAAGACCCTTTCAGAGACTTCTTGAATTTGTCAGGAGTAACTCTGCAGGAGTGTCAGGGACCTCTGTTATCTGGATGAACGTGAAGTAGTCTCTGATGTGAGAATAGTAGCCCAAGTCCCTCACTTAACCTGATAAATGTCACCAGAAGGCTTTGAGGCTGAGGGGATTAGCTTGACATTTGTAACACAATGTCTTTTTGACGTTGTACATTGTCTTTCCAAACTCAAAATGGTTTAACCAGATTAATATGAAAAAGAGCATGGGCTGGTTAGCGAAATAATCACAGATTGCATGCTCAGCTTCTAGGGGGACTCCATAAAACCTCCCCAGGCTCTCCGATATAGCAGATTCATATTAAATGCTCTAGGACCTGCTCCTGAATGTGCTTTTTTTTGTTTGTTTGTTTGCAGAAAGCGCTCGGCACCTGGACCTGCCCTGCAAACGCTCCTACCTGGAAGCCTCCTCGTCCGTAGGTGACGATCACTATTTCCGTTCCCCGCCTCCGTACGATCAGCAGATGCTGAGCCCGTCCTATTGCAGTGAAGTGACGCCGCGGGAAGCGTGCATGTACTCTGGTTCTGGGGCTGAAATCGCTGGTGTCTCTACGGTCGATGACTTGCCCCCTCCGCCTCCCCCCTTGAGCTGCAATATGTGGACTTCTGTCGCACCTTACACCAGCTACAGCGTTCAGACAATGGAAACTGTCCCTTACCAGCCTTTCCCCGCTCATTTCACTGCCGCCACCATGATGCCGCGGCTCCCGTCCATCGCGGGTCAAGGCTCGCAGCCACCAGGTAACAGCCACTTCAGTGTCTACAACCAGCTGTCCCAGTCTCAGGTTCGGGAGCGCGTTCCTTCTTCATCTTTTCCGAGGGAAAGGGTGCACCCGTCTGTGTGCGAGAGAAAACCCCCCTCTCCGCACCTAAACGCGGCGAACGAGTTCCTGTACTCACAAAGCTTTTCCTTGTCGAGGGAGTCGTCGCTGCAGTATCATTCAGGGATAGGGACTGTGGAGAACTGGACTGACGGATGACTCTGACAGTCAAGCGATGCCACAGCCAACGGTACTGCTCCGGGACAGTGTTCAATCCGTGTCGATACCTGTGGGTAACTTGCACTTCGGTGAGACAAACGTGCATTTCCAGAGGGATTGGTGTGGGTGAAGAGCTTTGTACCTTCAGACACACAGAGAATTACATCTCCGGTCTTGGTGGGCTGGATTCATCAGTCTCTTAGTGACTCCTGAATAAATTAATTCTCGCATCTTCGTTACTGAAGCAGTAGGAACCATCTTCATGGCTAACAAGTGCAGTAGCTAGTCGTTTTCTTTTGCTTGTAATATTAAACATCCGTGAGCAAATATGGGCTCTTTGGGAAAAACACAAGCTTCACTTTTATGGTACTTGGTTTGTGAAGTCACAGCATCCCAAAACTCAAAGGAAAAAGCGATCTGTTCGGTTGCGTAGTTCAAGGACTGCCGTAGCAGCGCTTCTTTAGCTCTTTTTATCTGTAGAAATGCCTTCTTCCTCTGGAAGTGGCGGAGCCGTAGGAGCGCAGGGGCTGGCGGGGAGGCTCGGCGGTGGGGTCAGGGAGCTGCGGTGCCACTCTGGTACCTCCCTGGTGCAACGCAAGGGTTGTAGGGGTTGTGCCGTGGCACGGAGAGGTGAAGGCATTGATGCATGAATGTCTCTTCTTCCCATCACTCGTGGCTGCAGGAAGATAAGAAGTGAAGCATTATGCCCGAGGCCAAATGGCAAATTAATTGCAGCGTTAGGAACAGACCCAGTGTCTTCAGGCTCTCACCAGTTGATTGAATCACACTTGCTTATTGCAATATATTTGTGAAGTTTAAGCTTAAAAGTCGCTAATACTTTCCAGAAACAATTTCTGTATTTGCTGGTCCTTGATTTCATTCGTATTCAGCTGAAACGTGCCTTTCGTGCTATGTTTTTTTTTTTTTTTCTTTTGCAGCTAACTCTGAAGGAATTGTTTTCAGCATAAAGGAGGAATAGAGAAATATTTTCTTAATTGTGGGGTGGGGTGGGAAGAGTCCCCATGACCTGTCAGGCTTTGCAGTGTACCGATATTTGTAGAGCAGGTACAACTCTCTAACCAGTGTATCCATTGCTACTGTTGTGTACTGTGGAAGCATCTTGAACTGACTCCTTCAGCGCTGGCTTTGCCCACCAGTGTCCCTACGAAGTAAGGAGGGGTCCCTGGGTGACAGCCATGTCAGGAAACAGCCCGGTGTGGGAAAGCAAGCTGCGAGCTTTCTGGAACACAACTCCCATTGCCTTCACCCAAAAAGCTCCTAGGCAGGGCTGTGGCCTCCTCCGGTCTGCAGTGTGTCCATCCCGCCGAGCTCCCGGGGACGCTGTCCCAAGGGATGGCAACACAGGGTGACGCTGGGAGCTTGGTTCCACTAAGAGCAGAGTATTTAACCTTTAGTTGTGCACAGTGGGGTTCTCCCCTCCCTCCCCTCTTCCCAAATGGGCAAAGGCAAAAAGCTGAAATAGAAATCTGGAAGTTGGGAGGTACTTCTGCGTTTTGATGAGCCCCGTGGCCACTAAAGTGGAGGTCATGTTTCATCAAGGACAATCTCATACACCCATTCAGCAGGCTATATATGTGACCGGTGTGGATTTTGTAATCAGATTTTGGAAATCACTACAATTTTTGCATGCTATTTATATACAT